CCCCAAAACCCCAAAACCCCAAAACCCCTTCATTTAAAATTAAGATATTTTTTGGTCGGGAATAATGAATGAATTAAAATTAAAGAAATATAGTCTCAAACTTAAAAATATTATTAATATCTGATATCACTTAATCAACCATTCAGTAAAGCGAACTTTTTTTGAAAAACTATTTTAGAACTTCTTTATCATAATCAATTAAAGGATAAGCCTCCTCTTATTCTCTTTCAATTTATATAATTACTTATTTCTATTATGCGAGATTTTTATGTTTCTTTTCCAAGTGATTATTAAGTTAGGTTTATCTGTAAAAATTGAAATGACAAAAATGGCAACTGAAATCTCTACTAGATAAATAATAAGCTAAAAAGAAACATACTTTTTCTTAAAATGCCTTTTGCAATGGTCCAAGTAGTTTCCTTTAGAACTTACTCTTAACCCACAAATTTCACATTTGTACGGCTTGATGCCCTGATGTATCCTCAAATGTACCACTAAGTTGCCTTTTTCAGTAAATTGTTTAAAGCATTCGCCACATTGAAACTGTTTTTCCTAAAAATGAATATTCTTTTTGTGTTTAAGCAGGTTATCTTTTCTTGTCACTACTACATCGCATAAGTCGCATTTAAATATTCTACATTTGTTATCCTTAATTCTTGGCCCTCTCTTTCTTTAACTTTTCATTTGGAAAGTTAATTCTTCCTTTGCTTGTTTATTATCTATTAAATTCTACTATTCTGAACTGAGTTTCTAATTATTAATTTTGCTTTTTTAAAAATCAATTAGTAACTCTTTTTTAAATGCCAGCTCATCTAGTAAAACTAGTTTATTTTCCTGAGCTTATCAATTCTATTAGGTTAGATTTATCATTGCTTTACATTACATTTGAGCTATACTCATTGGCAAATTTTAGTTCTCGAATAGTTCACTAGAGTTAGGTTTCTGATATAATATATCGATGTTTTGCTTCTTAATACTAAAATATTATTAATATTATTATTGTTAACAAGTTTTATTATAATATTATTGTTCTACTTCGATTAAATTCTAGTTGCTATAGGCCTTTGATTAGAAGTGTCTATCCTCCTAATTTGAATTCAATAGAGGGATCCTATTATCATTAAGAAGGAATTATTAAAGATTATTCTAGACATTATTCGAAACTTCCATTAAATTTATTTGGTTCTTTAAGCATATATCTCTTCCATTAAAATTAGAATTGAAATGCTGTTTACTATGATTCTGTTAGCATTGATTATATGAATAATTCTGCAAAGATCTATATTATCTTTTAGAAAGTTTGAAATCTTACTAGCATGACTCTGTTTGCTATAAGTAGGTAAATTGTTGATTCTACATGTGATGATTAAATAAACTTTAGTTTTAGACTATTTTTTTGAACTTGTATGGAATTAATAGTTTCTTTTTAATATATATATCTACACATTTAATGAGATTAAATTCATTATCATTTCATCAATTTCAATCTTTTGCTATTTTAACTCTTTGGGGTTTTGGGGTTTTGGGGTTTTGGGG